ATTCCTTTGATGTTTTTAAAAAGGAGGTAAAAATGTGTTTTTAAAAGATCAAAGATGATAGAAGAGATTTAAATAATAATTTTTTGTAACAGGAGACCCCATATGCTCTGTTAATGTTTATAAAGAATTCACACGACACGGCCTTTTGGAGATGCTGGAGCCTGACAGCAGGTGTTATCTTTCCATTAAACAAAATCCAACAGATGACGTAAAATTATTGTTCATTACATCACATGTTAATGATGACAGGGGAACCTAAACTACCCTCCTTAAAAAAATGTCCACCTACAGGTATCAAAATGGGCAACTTCCAAATTTTCTTAATCAGCCAATCATTATTTCGAGACAATTTAAAGTTCTTGAACATTAAAAGATGTAACAAAAATTAGCAAATTAAAATATTTCAGTTTATTATGACATATATACAAAAAAATCAAGTTATCTGCAAATTCAGTTCTCATTTGAAGGAATCCATTTAGAATGTCAATACTTTGTACAACCATCTCTGGCCACAATAATTGCCCGTATTCTGTTTAGAGAACTACGAATCAGATGTTGACACCCGACGACTGGAATACGATTCTATTCATTTACCAAAATTGATTTCAACATCCCTCAGTTTATGGCATCTTGCATGTTTCACAGCATATCCCAAGCCTCTCCATAAATTATTTATGGGATTTAGTTTAGGACTTTGGCAATTGTGTCGGACAATCAAGACAACGCATCCCTTGTTCAAATAAAACAATAATCTTGAATGATTTTCTTACCTCGTCTGTACTTCAGTCAAATCAAATTAAGAAGTTAAATGATCACTATAAGATATAGTGGAGTGACAAGACCATCAAAAATTTGAATTTAATGTACGACCCTACCCTACGGCTAATTTGTACTTTTTTGGTCAGATATATTATCAGGCAATAATTTTTGCCCGGTCGTAGAAAATTCTATGGTCAAAATTTAAAATAAAAGGAGATCAAAGATCAATGATTGAAATCTGACCATAATATTGTACATATGACGAAAAATAATGTATATTTGTATAGGAATTTTATTTATTCGGTGAATATATTGATTTCATGGAAAAGGAACAAAAAATTGAACAAGAATGCCCGTTTGTCTGTCTGTAAAATGAAAGGTTTGTCTTATTGTATGTTATCTAAACTTAAAAGGTTTTATGCTAATGTACGTTATTCTCTACGTACAATCACAGAATATTTAGTATACAAAGTACAGAAAAGAAAAACAAGAACAACAACACCCCATCACCCTTACCCCCCACCCCACCCACTCCTTAAAAAACGAAATATGACCATACATTTCGCACTTTTTTAAATATGTTTTATTAAGCCTTTTTCGTCTGATTCATTATTTTTTAAAGAAATTGTTCGACGCTTTTTGAAAAGCCTTCTTAGTAAAAATTCTTCTAGAGGTCATCCTTGCTCTCACATTGAATTTCGGTACTCCGGTCTCATACAAAGGACAAACAACAGAAGTTTAAAGTCTTCATATTATTCATTTCTGTGTCTAAAAAGTTCAATTTTTTTTTTATCAATGAATGTTGTCTATAATTTGAAAAAATTTTCAGTTTAATTTGGTGAACTTTTGAATAACCGTTTACTCATAAATTAAGCAATTCTTTCTCAAAAGGAAAAATATCGAAAAAGCTTTCGTATGACAGAACAAACCACGAGTTTTCCAAGCAAAAAATTATAGTGGATTGCTTTTACGGTTCCGTTTGATTCTTATCTTCCTTTCTGGTACGTCTTTTCAAAAGAAAACTTAAGTACTGTAAGCAAAATATATCTCCGCTCATAAAGGATTATAGAAACAGAGTTCAATTTATGGCAGTATGACTTGTACATGTAAATGAGGAAATGCGTAAACAAAATATGTATCCCTTAGTTTGAATAATGACAAAGTCCATGTTTTTGCTGTAGAAAACACTAAATATATTTCGGAAGGAAACATGAAATAGTTTCTGTAAAGTGATGGGGACAATCTTTAAGATGAAATACTAAAATCGTTTTTCTCTCTGTGTTTTATACTTGCGTTATTCTGTATTGCTTATGAAGTAGAGAGGAAATAACCAATCATGCAAGATACCTTGTTCAAACAAGAATGTGACGGAAAAATGACATGCTTGTCCTTTACGTATTTTTTTAAATTGAAAAAAAGGAAACTTACTTTGAAATGCTCATTAATTTAAATTCAAACTGAATATTAGTGTTATCTTATTGATAATAGAAGCCAATTTAATATATTTAACAATATTTTTGATCTATGGAGTCACTTTCATAGACATAATGGGATTCTATAATCCGTTTCCAGTTACACAAAACATTTTAGATCAATAGAAAACAAGACTTATTGTGAGGATGTCTTTAAAAGAGTGCGGTTTATTTGATCAGAAATCATTGTCTTATAAATCTTTCTAACGCTTAAGTAAACATTCGTTATTAATATTGCATGAAATAATTGTATTGAATATATTTTGTTGAAATTAACGTAGTTTCTATAACAAAACATAAGTTGTCTTTTTTAAAGGGGGGGGGGGCAAATAATATTCCTAATTAATTTTGCATTGTAACTTTAGATACATGTAGTTATCCTATCACGCACAAATTATACTTTCCAAAGTTAATAATTAATCTTTGAAAAAGAATATTATCAACAAGTAAAATAAACGACTTAAATACCCCCCCCCTTTTCAGTTTCATCGCAAGTTGAAAAAAAAATTGACTTGAGAAAACTCTACGACCGGGCGAAAACGTATGAGGAGGGACGTCTCTTTTATAAAATATAACTTTCAGCCCTAGGGTATGCCGGTCCATTAAACTCGAAAACTAAGCATCTTTTTCTAGGATTGTCACTCCACTATTAGTAGTAGTTCCATGTCTTGTGGCAATCTCTGACACTGCGATGTTTTGTTCATCCTGTTTCAGAGGGTTCTATCTCTGAAGTGAGAGCCTTTCTTTGCGAAAAACATCATTTTGTCTCACATTATGTAAAACATTATGCCGCTGGCACTTGTTTTGTATACGGTGCACCCCCTACTTATAAATACCGCAAGGTACCTGACTCAATTTCAGGCACAACCGCTTCAAGCTCGTATTTCGTTGAAAAATCAATCATTAACCTACTTGAATGAAATCGTTCGCTTTCTTCTATAGACTTTTTCTTGTCAAATTACTGTAAACCAACTTTTATTTGCGACGACTTTATTTCGCGATTTACTGGTGTAAAACTAGTTCGCTACGATTAATTTTCGCGATCAAACCTTGTTTTAATCTGTTTTTAATAGATACAGAGACTTTAAGAACTGGTTCTAATTTCGTGATGATGAGGCTCTCGCGATTTTCTCGAAAATTTCTAGCATGCGAATAAAAGTTGGTTTACAGTAATCATTTCGGACATCTATGGTCAAGCCTCTTTATTTTAAACCACTTTCATTCCTCCAAAATTATCTCTAATTAGAATAACAATTAGAATGGGATACAAAAGGTCCGATTGAGTTCAAGATGTAGTACGATAATCAGAGACTTCAGAGTATTCCATATCGCACATTTCAGTAATCTTGAATACGTTTAACAAGGCCCAATAAAAGGAGCGTAGGGACGTTAACCGCAGCTTTTACTTGTAGAGGTACCCAACCCCCCTGGCTAAACGAAGTTATCCACACTTTTATTCATTCGATATGACCAAAAACATCTGCTCATTCCAACTAGTCATCCAGCTTCTGATAAGGAAACAATGAAATTGAAGGCACAGACAAATGAAAAATGCAGAACAAAGGCTCAAAGGCAAATGCTAAGCTGAGCAGATTGGTTTGGAAAAAAAGGAGAAAGTTCAGTATTATTATTGGCTTGGAAAAAAAGTAGAAAGTTCAGTATCATATAGGTAAAATATATTTTAAGCGCTTGCAAATACTTCCTAAAAAGCGATTATAGTGTGTATTATATTAAATTTAAAAAAAAACATATTGCATTAGCGATTTCATGTTTAATAACTTTACTAAATACATGTATTGTCAGCAGAGGGAGAGAACTGTGCAAATGTTTCTGTGAAATTCAATATACATCATTCAGAGCTGTGTTGTTGACTCCTCCTCCTACCTGTCTGCCACATACGTCATTAACAAGACCGAGACATTTCTAATAATTAAATTAGCCAATGTTATTGAGTAGCAAGACATACAACATATATAAGCGACATTTTTGTTCCAACAAAGACATTTTTGCTATATCACATAATGGAAGAGACTGTGAAACAAGTAAAAAAATCAGTTCGTGTGAGTCGGTTTCGTCCACAGACCCAATCTTTCTCTGACTTTGGCAGATTTGACCGAACACTTTACCAGACTGATAGGAAGAGATCATATACTTTCACAGATTCCTCTTCTTCTCTCGAGAAACCTGTTTTGGAGAGGGTCCGAAACTTTAGCAAAACAAAGAGAGGAATCAAGAACCATGGTGATTTCCTCAGAATCTCGTCCACATCTTTTTGCAGTAACTCTGATATTGACTACCAAGGAAGTCAGATATCCGTATTTCCTCAATCCTCCCCCGTTTCTAGTGAAGATTTAATTCCTCAGAAAAACAGCACAGCATATAAAATAATAATTTACGGAATACCTGGGGTTGGAAAATCATTTCTTCTACAACAGATGCGAACTTCCGAATTCCTTGGAACATGTCCAGAAGGTAAAATCATGATTGAAAAAAACAAAACAAAGAAAACTTTACTAAGAAATTTTATCAATTTGAAATCATTGATTTTTTTTTCAAACAGGCCCAGATCCATTCTATCAATCTGTACCAGTGGTTTTGGGGAGAAAGGAATCAGTTCTTAATTTTGTAGAAGCTGATATGTACATTCAGGTAAGATTGCAGTAACTATTTCAAAATCTTGAAATTCCCTTTGGTTTCTTTATCTACATTTAGAACACTTGGGATGTGAATATCTTTTCATAGAAACCTTTTTTTTCCAGAATCATGGCAACACTAATGAATATGATAGTATTGTAATGATGTACTCCGTAACCGATAAAAGGTCGTTTAACTTCATCGCCAATAAAATTAAAAAGATAAAAGAAGAAGTGGGAGATGCAAAACCTGTTTATGTTGTTGCAAACAAAGTGGATCTCATAAGGTTTCGAGAAGTTTCCAGTAAAGGTAAACTTTCTAGTATTAAATACACTGAAGTAAATGAAAATTAAAGTATCCTTTCCCAATCCTACATTAAGTTGGAAGTGTTATTGTTCAAAAACAATTTAATTTAAAAAAAAACAGGTTAAGCTCAGACATAACTTTGTGAAAATAACAGCATCTTTCTTTTTTCTTTTTACAGATGGTTTGTCATTAGCGCAAGAGAACAACTGCAGCTTTGTGGAAGTGTCCGTTTCTCTACAGTGGAATATAGATAAAGTTCTTGTAGGAGTTACAGAGCAACTTCAAGGTTGCAAAAAGAAAAACAATGGAAGAAAAATTTCTAAACTAGGTTGCCAAAATATCCCCAAAACTCCAGAAGTCCCTTCTATACAACCTGTGACAGAAGTAAAGTCACACAAAAAAGGAAGTATTTTGTCAAGACTGCGAAAATTCTTCAAAAGAAAGCATTTCAAGTTTTAAAAAAATTAAGAGCGTAAATCAGCAGTTATAAAACATTTTTTGGACTACCTTTTGTGGTTTATGTATAGAAGTTTCAATAAAATGGATAATTCATTACTTGAATGATTATTATGCGATGTACTTGGGTTTTTCATATTTTTTTTCATTTTTATGATATACCCAGTTTGGCAATTAAATGTGTATTGTATAGAATGTTATTCGCTTTGTACATTCATGGGACGAAAATAAAAGTGATTGGTAAAACTCCAATTCTAGGTGTTATTTTCTAAGCATTACCCCGCTGAATATTAATCATGATGAACAATTATATTTGTACAATTGTATGAAACTGTAAGTTATGATGAACGTCACGGCTTCGAAGCAGAATCATTTTTGCTGCAATAACCCTCCAATTTTGCTTTAAACTTTTAAAATTAGATTTTTTTTGCAATTTAAATCTTTATCTAATTATAAACTTGACGTCCAATCGTGTATTTTTTTTTTTGTTCAGTAATGAGGTGATCAATTACTTTATTGATTGTGTGATTTTTCACGTTCCATTCGAGAATTTTTCACTTATACTGACAAAGTTCCCAAAGAGACAAGGAATTCTTACTGCTAATTGCAATTTTGTCCCATAATGTCAAATTAGGACATTTTCTCCCGTTTTCTCAATTGATGGAATTTCTTAAATTTGAAATTCTTTTCACTTCGGATATATAACACAGGCTGACTTATCCAAGATTTTTATACACATAATTCAGCGACTTCAATTTCTTTTTTAAAAAATGCTTTTCAGAAAATACGGAAGAATTCATCATTTTTGTGAACTCTCTGTAACCTTAATATATAGAAAAGTAACTCAATGTAAACAGTAAAAATAACCAACAGAGATCGATTGAAAGAAATTAAACAATACTAATCTGTGAGAGAACACGGAATTCCGGTATTTCTAATGGTCTGATTAGGTGTTTAGAAGAAGAAGCATCCCCTCTTGATCATTAAATCTTTTCTTTTATCTCTAAGCGCTGACTTTGGAGCTGAACCCTCATTTAGGAAACTTAAATCTTCTCCTACAGCTTTCATACTGGGGAATCAGTGTCACAAACATATCTCGTGCCATCTTCAAAATTGGTTGGTTGCCCCCTCCAGACCGGTTGATTACAAATGGCTTGTTTTTACATACCATGATACAATATTTATTTTTGGTTCCCGTTATCCCGTTTACAAATATGCAGACATTTTCTGGAAAATAATTTCCCACCTACCAACTCAACAATTTTACCACCGAGTCGGGAGAGGGCAAGCAAACATTTTACGGATGGCCTTGTTTATTTTTTTTTTCTGTATCGAGATTGATATACAACATAAATGAATACTTATACAATCATGTATTTGATAATACTTGCATATCCCTGTAACAGACCACAAAACTCTACCTTACCACCAACTTTGGACTGGTTATGGGCATCGATATCATACTTGTATTCATTGACAACGCCTTTCCTTTGAAACTTTGGTATAAATAGTTTTACCTTGACCTAAGTTTGACCAAATTAAAAGTAGATTTTAATTTTGGCATTACTTTTTGAAGAGTTGGTACTAAATAAAGGTATGTTAAATTTCACAATGTATTTCTTGTAACAAAACCTTTCTTTGCATACAAATTTTGACATTGTCATCTTGTAGTAAGGCCAATTTTTAATCCTTTAACCTTCCGCATCCGTTTTGGAACAGTTGACTGGTTTTATGGGTTTTTTATTGCACAACTACTGTAGTATATTTCTTGTGACAATTCATTTCCCTGGGTGTCAATGCATTTATCATTAGCCTTTGAGTGAGAACATTTTTAACCTCTATATTATTGATCCAAGTCAATGCTTTCTTTGGAAAACATTTCTTGTGTGTTGACCTTGGAGTTGATTTTGAATTTGAGAAATTTTAATAAAGCTTTACGGGGACATAACATCTTGAATACGGTTTGTAATCTCCATATAATTCATAATCATATTTCCTATGCTATGGATAACAAATCCTTTTGTTCCTGCGAATGATGGAAAAAATGCAGGTCGTAAAAAGATTGTAAAGGTTTAATCTGATGGAGTAATTGGATTACTGTTTCGATTCGGAAGAGGGGTAAAATGAAAAGAGGTAGGCAAGTGTCAGGCAAGTGTTTCTAATAAAAATATCTCTCTTGGTGGCCATATTGTCTTAAACTTTTCCTTAAGGATTCGAGTTGCTTCAAGTAACTGTCAATGACTGAAGGCAAATATATTCTTTGAAACTTCAAATAAATTATCTCGTATTTTAGGTGTCTTCCGGCAAAATAAACGGATATATATTGACTGTTTATTATATATACCTTACATACATTGCCAAACTTTAACCAAAACCATAAGTGTTCACAAAAACGTTAACTGAAAATCTTATTTTAAAATTCAAATCCATTTAGTGAAAATATTGTTATGAACGGGAGGTTTGTCTTTTTACATTAGTGAAAGAAACAGTTATAATCAAAATAATCTTTCCACAGAGTTTCTCTGTATGTGTCAAGATTACCAAAAGAAAGGTGGTGTTTTCATGAATAAAGACACCTATTGTTCTAGTGGTCAGGTCAAATGTTTATGCCTAAGTCACATTTCCCGGCCGGTGACCGTAGACCGGTGGTAATCCGTGGTGTGAGCGATGCCCCAACATCGGTCCACATCGGCCTAGTAGTCTTTAAGGTATCAGTCACATTATCCAGATATGGGGTATACGAGGGGCAACCGATGCAATATGTGATAAAAATGGCGTGGTTGCCGGCCGGACTTACAAAGACCCAGCGATGCATTGCTAATCCGAAAACGATGTTCAAGGGTAATCGGCCGATGTATATTACATCGCTCATACATTGGTGAACATCGTTCGTTCGTCGGTCGACTATAGGCCAATGTTTGGTCGAACATCGGCCGATCACGGCCGATGTCTGTTGCCCATCGCTCAAACCCCCGATGACCTCGGATTCAACGGACACTTGACGATGCTAGGCCAATCCTTGGAAGATGTGTTAATGATGGGTTGCCGATAAGGAGCGATGTTGGGCATCGGTGGAGACATCGCTGATTTTTAACTACAACTTATTTTCTTACCGATGACCCCCACCGATTCGCCAAATGACCTCAGTCACCGCCCGATGACTATAGGTGTTTGGCAACCACGCCATTTTTATCAAAAACGCATCGGCTTCTCATCGTATACCCATCGCTTGATAATGTGACTGATACTTTAGCTGAATATATATGACCGAGATCACTTTCCCAGTTATACTTCGATTATCGCATCAGCTTTTTGACACGGCGAATTGTTGAGCTTTAGGTGGACCTTCTCATGTCCCTAAGTAGAAATACCTGTATCTTTTCCCAAATTTTGTTGATTTACAAAAAAAAGTCAATCAAATTAGCCTTATATCAAACTAAAGGAATTTAGTTTACATAACTTTCTTAGCGGACCGTTGTTTTGTGTAAAATGTTGGGTTTTAAATTCTTCATTATTTCATGTGATTTTTTTTTCTAAAATGCACGGTTATAATTATCTTTACAAAACTACAGTATATCTCATCTTTTGTTTTAAAATGAACCATAAAATTGGACATAAAATGTGTCAACATCAGCAGTATTTTCTTTAAATTTGCTTTCAATTGTATCTAAACGGCCAATTAAAGTCAGTTTTAGAAATAGATCAAATATTTTTATGAATAAACCCGCATCAGGTCATTGTAACTGCTTTATTTAGATCAGCATATACTACGTAAACATGAAGGTTCGTTAATTATCTTTACTGACTAGGATGATAATTGCAATCGACCTAAAGAAGTTCATCGTCAGTTACACTAGCAATAATTGTATTTGTCATCATTTGTTCCACTTGTTTGTTGAAATGTCATCTTAGATACCTTGACGGTGGTTGTTATTAAAAACAAGTGAGGATGTTTTTGAGACAGGATGATGTTCATATCCTGGTTCATGAAGGTCAAATAGACAAAAATATATATTGATTATAATAGCTTACAAACGGAAACAATAGATTCAACTTTTAAATTGCTGACTTTCTTACTGTTGTACCTTAAGTTACCGAATCCTTTTAAGTGAACAAAAGGGAGAAACTTTTTATATCCTGAAGCTTTTTTAACAGATTTTTATAAAATAATTTAGCATATTATCATGAGGGAATACTTTTATTTGAATTTTTATTTGAATACTGAATATTGATTACATGTACTTGTACTCAATAATTTTTTTTTATCTTGGATTTTTAACATTGTTTTGTGGATTTATATTTTTCAAATTTTAAAATGAAAAGTAATTATTCCCTGTTAAATAATGTACAAGTAAACGGAACATTCCGTTGTTAAATTCTGTATCATAACAAATTTGAAATAATTGGTACAGAACATGTCAACTAAAATACGACCAAGTGATAGATACTTCCTGAAAAGGTCGCGACCGTAACATTTGAACGTTTTTGATTTCTGAAATCCTTGTTACTTATTGATCGTAGTCATAGCATACCTTTGGGTACATGTAACGAATAAAATGAGAAAATAAAAACAATATGCAAGTGATAGCGAATTTTTGTTACATTTAATAAGGAAAGTTGATGGTAAAGCTGAAGTCAAGTTGTTTGTCTTTACATTTAGTTGTTAAATGGCCTTTTTCGTCTTAGTCACTTTGTATGATGTACATGAAACTCTTGATGATTTTTCACTCATATGGAGACACGACTATTTGCCGTTGGAGGGCTGCAAATTTAAACCTATGTTCGGCACTCACGGCAATTGCGCAGTTAGGGATCTTTTTCATGCAAACACCTACTCGACAAGGGACCTCGGTTTATACGGTCTCATCCGAAGGACTGGTCTCTGCGTCCCACAGTGGATTCGAACCCGCGACGTAGAGATTGATTCTCTTACCCTGCTACTTAACTCTATTCGGTAAAACGTCCATTTATAACGAATGTGACGGACTATGTGGTGTCTTTTATCTCAGCTTCACTGGAATATATAGAAGCGACATGTGAATGGAAATAACTTGCTAATTGATAAAGCGTCGTGATAGAAATGTCACAGAATTCCCCATCTTGATCACGGTGT